AGGGTGTAGGAGGTCTGGGTGAAGGCGGGGGCGTTGTCGTTGACGTCGGACACCAGTACGGTTATGTTGTGCTGGGTTTTCAGTCTCGGTGTCCCCATATCTGTGACGGTGATGGTGACGTTGTATTCCGCTCTGCTCTCTCTGTCCAGTGGCCTCTCGGTCACTAGGGTGTAAAAGTTTTTGAATGTGGGTTTCAAAAGAAAGGGGAGATCATTCTGGATGGAGCAAACCATCCTACCGTTGTCCCCCGAATCTGGATCAGAAACACTGAAAACAGCCACCACAGTCTCTGGGGAGTTTTCTGGGGTAGAGCTGGTGAGCGTCGACATGGTCAGTTCGGGGACGTTGTCGTTCACATCCACCACCTTTATAACTACAGTGCATTTTCCTGAAAGGCCCCCGCCATCTGTGGCTGCAATCTCCACGTTATAATATCGAGTTGCCTCGAAATCCAATGCCCTTTTCAGACGAATTTCTCCTGTTATTTCGTCTATTACAAATGGTTGAGTAGCTTCATCACCTTGGAATAGAGCGTAGGCTACATTCCCATTCGTCCCTGCATCTAAATCTCGGGCGGAGACAGCGACAACTAAGGAGTTTAGGGGGCTGTTCTCCGGAATCTGTACCTCATAGACCGACTGTAAAAACTCAGGGGCGTTGTCATTGATGTCCACGACTTCAATGCGGACTGCAGTGGTCCCGGACCTGGGCGGAGCCCCACTATCCAGCGCCGTGAGGGTTAAACTGAGCTCAGGCCCTTCCTCCCGATCCAGCGGTTTGTCCAGCACCAGCTCTGGGTATTTTCTGCCATCTCCGCGATTATGAGTGACAACATGAAAATGGGAGTTGGGGCTGATTGTGTAATTCTGAATAGTGTTGCTACCTATGTCAAAATCCTGAGCTATTTTCAAAGGAAACACAGTCCCTGTCTGGACGTTTTCTGGGATTTTTAGGAGCATTTCCCTCTCGAGGAACTCTGGGGAATGGTCATTTATATCTGTGAGCTGCAGATCAGCTTGAAAAAACTGCACCGGGTTTTCCAGTAATAGTTGGAAATGCAGTATGCAGGGATCTGTCGCCCCACACAGCACCTCCCGGTCTAGTTTTTCATATAGAAGCAAATTCCCGGTCGTTACATCCAGCTGCAAGAGCTGTTTATTTCCTTTGTAATGGATTCGCGCGCCCCGAGTGGCCAGTTCCCCCACCCTGAGCCCCAGGTCTTTTGCCAGGGTGGCCACAAAAGACCCACTTTCAGTTTCTTCTGGCATGGAATACCTAACTGCTTCAGAGCCAGGCTCCCACAAAAGCAATAATATAGCAAGAAAGATAACTTGCCTTTTCTGTAGCGTTTTTGCTGGTGCAGTCTCCATTGTTCAGACCCGGTTCAAGAACTTGCAGTTTCTTCAACTCCGTATGCAATCAACCCAGATGATTTGGTTAAATAAACTCGAATTAGATCTTTCTGACTGACCTGCAGTAGAACGATGCCCTTCTCTGGAGATCTCTGCTTCTAGATCTTATGTAAAATGCTTCCTTCTTTTAGAAAGCATTCAGAGTTCTGATTCCCAGCTTAATGGCTTCCCGGGTATCCACAGAGCCATTCATTCCTACTCCTAGCCTGCAGCACCACCAGGCGTCCTTATTTACTATTGCATATAGTATTTGCCGTCTCTTTCCAAGTTAGAACCTTTTAAGTCACAGAAGTGTTCCCAGTTGTATCTCCACTTCTCAGTTATTGTAAGTTCTAAATAAACATGTGCTAAGTTAACTTCCAGCGAAAGAATACTATTCAGAACAAACTAAAACACTAGTATTCCTCATAAAATATCTTTTGAGTACTTGAAGAAACTTTCTTTTGTGTGATTCTTATTTGATTATATTCACGAAATAAGCAATAATGGATGTTTACAAAAGTTTCCACTATTAAAGTTATTTTTATTTTAAAATATTACATATTAAAAAAGGGCATAAATCATGAGTGTACAACTCAAAAAATTTTCAGGAAGTAAACACACTCATAAGCAAAGCCTAAATTAAAATTAAAATGTTACAAAAACCCTAGAAGCCCCCTCCTCTCATTGTCTGGTCACTACCCTCCCCCCTAAAGGTAAGCACTCTCCTCATTTCTATTATCATAGAGCTTGTGTGTGTCTTTTTTTAACTTTTATACAAATGGAGTTATAGAGTGTTATGTTTGTCTTCTTTCACTCAACATTACCTTTGTAAAATTCATCTGTTACATATTGTTCTAATTTATTTTATTCTCATTGCTTTATGTTATTCTATTGTATGACTATACCACCATTTGTTTTTTTATTCTCCAGTTGATGGACACTGGGGTTTTTCAGTTTGGGAATATTTTGAGTAGTGCTGCTATGAACACTCTTGTATATGTCTTTTGGTGTCTATGTGTGCATTTATATTTACTATATTCCTAGGAGTTAGACTGTTGTGCCTTAAGATGTGCACATATATATATATATCTTTAATAGATATTGCAAAACAGTTTTCAACTGTGTTTTTACCAAAACCAGCAGAGTGAGAGTTCCAGTTGCTCCATATGCTTGTCAACATTTGATAATATCTTTTAATTTTAACCTCTCTGATGAGTGTGTAATGATGTCATATTGTAATTTTAATTAGCATTTCCCTGATGATTAATTAAATTGAGCACATTTTTCACATGGTTGTTTTTATTAGTGTATATTCTTGTGAAGTACATAAGTTTTTTGTCTATTTTTCTATTTAGGGTATTTGTCTTTTTTTCTTATTAATCTTTAGAAGTTCCTTATATATTCTGGGTATAAGTACTTTTTTAGAAGTATGTATTGCAAATATTCTCTCCCATTCTATGGCATGCATTTTAACTCTCTTGTGGTATCTTTGAAGAACAAAACTTCTTAACTTCTACTCTAATTTTTCAATATTTTTTATTTATGGTTAGAACTTTTTGTGTTTTCTTTAAATCTTTGCATACACTAAAGTGAAGAAAATATTGTTGTATGGTGCTTTTGAAAAATTAATTACTTTACTTTTCACATTTAGAGCTATAATCCTCCTGAAATTATTTTTTCATGTTAATGAGGTTAGGGTCAAATTATTTTTTTTTCATATAAATATCCAAATGACTGCACCATCTATTGAAAAGAAGTTCCATTCCCAATTGTTTCTGATGTGCCATTTTTTTCATAAATCAGGGGTCCATAGTTCTGTTCAAGAGCCTTTTTTTCCCATTTTTCTCTTTGTTTATCCCACAATACAATATTATCTTAATTACTATACTTCATAATAGGTTTTAATATCTGATTGCTAAGTCCTCCAGTTTTATTCTTTTTCTTTAAGACTGCTTTGGTTATTATTGTCCCTTTGTATTTCCATATAAACTTTACCTTTCTCTTTTTTTAAAGATTTTTTTTTTGATGTGGACTATTTTTTTTAAGTCTTTATTGAATTTGTTACAGTATTACTTCTGATTCATGTTTTGGATTTTTGGCCACAAGGCATGTGGGATCTTAGCTCCCTGATCAGGGACTGAACCCACATCCCCTGCATTGGAAGGCAAAGTCTTAACCACTGGATGGCCAGGGAAGTCCCCATATAAACTTTAGATTCAGCTTGTCAGCTTCCACAAAGAAATCTGAAGTTTTGTTTAGGATTTTATTGCATCTGTAGATTGAGAAGAACTGACATATTCCCAATATTGAGTCTTCCAACTATTGAACATTATATATTCCTCTGTTTATTCAGATATTTAACTTTTCTCAATAATATTTTATATTTTTCAGTGTAGAAGTCTTATGCATATTGTTATGTTTGTTTCTAGATATTTGATGTTTCTGAAACTATTGTAAATGATGCTTGAAATTTTTAATTTTCTGGGTTTTGTTGCTGTATAGAAATACAATTATGATTTGCATGTAGACCTTATATCCAGTGGCATTACTTACTTCATTTATTAATCCTAATAGTCTGCAGATTCTTTATGACTTTTAATGTATACAATCATGTCATTTTTAAAAAAGACTTATTTCTTCTCTTCCAATCATTGTGTCTTTTATTTTTTCTTTGCTTTATTCCACTGGTTAGAACCTATAGTAAAACACTGAAGTGAAATAGTAAAGGCAAGCATTCTTGTCTCATTCTTGATCCCTGAGGGAGAGTTTTAAATAATTTACCATTAAGGATAATGTTTACTGTAGGTTTTAAAATACTTTCTGGAAGTTCCCTTCTGTTTTCAGTTTGCTAACAATTTTACCATGAGTGTGTGCTCACTAGTGACTTTTTTCTGTATCCATTGAGGTAATCATATGATTTTACTCCTTTACCTATTAATGTAATGTAGTATATTGATTGGATTTGCATTCCTAAAATAACACAGTTTTCTCATAATTTATTATTTCTCTTTTATATATTTCTGAATTTTATTTACTGATATTTTGTTTAGAATGTTTCCATCTGTGTTTGTAAAAGAGACTGGTCTCTAGTTTTCCTTCCTTATGATGTCCTATTCAGGTTTGGATGTCATAATCCATTGAAGTCATGCTGGTACCCAAATAATCTGGGAAATATTTCATGTTTATTTGTCTTCCAAAAGATTTTGTATAAATTGGTGTTAGTTGTTCCATGAGTATTTAGAAGAATTCACTAGTGTGAACTGAAGTGACAAGGTTTTTAATCACAAGTTTAATTTACTTAAGACATGACTAATCAGATTTCTTCTTGTTTCAGTTTTAGTATATTGTGTTTTTAAAAGATGTTTTCCATTTTACATAAATTACCAAATTTATTGGCATACAGTTGTTCATAACATCCTCTTTTATTTTTTAATGTCTGTAGGATTGGTAGTGATGTTCCTTTTTCATTCCTGATATTTATGATCGATGTTTTCTTTCTTTTTAACATTAGTCTTATGAAGAGTTTTTAATAAGAGTTATTATTACATGGAACCAACTTTAAGTTTTGTTAATCTTCTTGGTTGTATATTTGTCAGCTTTGTATTTATTTATGTTTATATATATATATGTATTATTTTCTTCCTTCTACATTGGTATTTGGTTTGTTCTTTTTCTAGCTTCTTCAGATGAAAGCTTAGATTATTGATTTTTAACCTTTCTTTTCTAACCTGTGCATTTAAAGTTTTAAAATTTCCCTGTAAAATCTGTTTTGATATATCAGATCTTAACTTTTACCCAGTTCAAAATATATGTAAATTTCTTCTGTGATTTCTTCTTTGACTGATGGATTATATTATTTAATTTTGAAGCATTTGGGTATTTCTTTTAAATTTTTATTTCTGCCTTAATTTCATTGTCAAAGAGCATATTGAGTGATTTCAATTCTTTAAAAAAAATTAGAGACTTGCCTTATGACCCAGAATATGGATAATTTTGATATATGCATGTGCATATAAAAAGAATGTGTACTCTCCAGTGTACTATGTATGTCAGTTTATTCAGATATAATTATTGTGTTGTTCAGATTTTTAATATTAGGTGTGTCTTCTTATTCTATCAGGGGTTGAGAGAGTTGTAATACATCCTCCTCCTATGACTGGATTTATCTATTTCTTATTTATGTTCTTTCAGTTTAACTTTCTATATTTTGTAATTATCTTATGGGGATATATTCAGTCTTAGAATTGACATACTTCTGGTATATTTACCTCCTTATCATTATGAAATATCTCTCTTTATCTCTAGTAATGCATCTTTCCTTAAAGTCTCCTTTGTCTTATGTGAGTATATCTATACTTGGTTTATTTTGGTTAGTGTTTGGTTAGTCATGTATCTTTTTCTATTTTTAAATTTTCAAACTTTCTGTCATAACACACACACAGTTATGTGACAGCATATAGTTGAATTTTTCTTAAACCTAATCGGACAATATTGGTTGTTTAATTGGATTATTTAATCCAATTGCAATTAATGTAATATTTGATATCTATCCACTTATATATACCATCTAAATTTTTGCTATTTGTCCCTAAAGTTTTTTTCTTTTTTTCGATTATTTAGATATTTATTTTTTTCCTTCGATTAATTTTAAAATTATTCTCCTTGTGATTATCTTAGAGATTACAACATCCATCTTTGATCTACAAGAGTCTAATACAAATTATTTAATTTTACTACTCCCATGATAATGCTTAGAACCTTAAAATTCCTTAACTCTGTTTATAGTACCTGCCTTTTACATGATTATTGTCATGAATTAAAATTTTATATATATTTTAAATCCTTTAAGAAACTATTATTTTTGCCTTTAATAATCAATAGCAATTTATAGTTACCCTTAT